TGGTTCAGATACTGGTTGCTTACATAATTAATCGCTTTGGAGAGAGGTGTGAAATTTGTCATCAAAATGTACTTTCTTTCAAATAATCTGTGTGTAATTACAGGCACATAGCCAATATTGTCCAGCTTGAAAAATAAAACTGGGATATCTCTTAATATAGACCCCATGCAGACGTTAAAATCCAGATGGCAAAGTCAGTGGTAGAGGAGTTCCCTTTCCTTAAAGATGAAGAGGGTCAAGGATATGTAAGTATGTTTTTGTAAATATCTGGGGCCAGTTGTATAAAGGTCGGATAGCGCTATCCACAGGATAGTCAAATTTTCAACCCGCATAAAAGTGCTTTAAAAGCTATAAAACTACTGATATAGAGCCCACAAATGATAAAAGAAACTCCAATTTATAAATATATTAAGATTTAATCTGGGTTATACAAGAAAACAGCCAGTTTTGGAAAGCTTCAAAAAATCACTATCCGGTGGATAGCGCTATCCGGGCTTGATACAACTGGCCCCTGAATGTGTAATGTCGAATCGAGAGTGTCTTAACGGAGTCCGTCTTGACGCCATCATCAGGTTATAAAGTGGAACATAATAATTAACTGTATTTCTTTGAATATAGGAAGCGTGGTACACATCAGGAAAGGGAATTCATTCTGCTACAGGATGGTTGGAAGAACGACTCCGAAATGTAAGGAGAAAGAGTGTTAAACACCGTCCAACTGAAAAAGATCTGAATACAGCTTCAACCTCATTAACACACCTGACAACATCTTTACCAGGTTGATTTCGTTCATTTAAAATTATCCTATTTGGGGTTAATTTCCATGTTGGATATATTAAATTGTGTCTTCATCTGTTTTCGAATAGATCCTGTTTTGAATGAATCAGACCATAATGGGATGAAGGAGTGGATGAAAGCAAACTTAGAACCTTTATCAACTTTAAAGAACTATATGGAAAAAACGGTTTTAAACCGAGCAGAATGGATAAGGAAAACCCCAGACCTTCCAATGCGAGAAGTTATGAAGGAATACCCACGTCTTTTCGATACCCCTGGCATGGTACTGTAAAATTTTGAAACATTCCTGGAATTATGCATATACATTATTTATACAAATTCGTTTTTATTACTAATATTTTAGGTGGAAATAGACTTTAGAACACTATACGCAGATGTTGCAGAGAACCTCTTTCTGCGATTGACACCACCAATTGTGGAGAAGATTATTTCGTATGCAGACACACAAGCAGAGAAGTGGACGACGTACTTGCACATGATTCCAAGGAATTTGAAATCTGGTAAGAAAAGTATAATAACTAGCTAGTATAGGAAATGGTTTCGCATCAAAGGTCTAAATTCAGTTTTCAAATTGAAAGCAGTGGTTCAAAATAACCTTTATAGATGAAGAGAGAAAAAATGCAGCAATTGGCCTTCTTCCATGCGTGTTCCCAACTGGAAGAAAGAATAGAAAACGATGTACAATTGATGAAGCTTTGAGTGCTTTTATCGATTGCCAACCGGTATGCATTATCATATGTCATTTAAAGTATGATAACTCGGAACATTGCGTATAAAGGTCTAAAATATTTCTCATATTTAGGTTGGTACAAACATGCCAAAATATTTAGAAGAAGCTCCAAGATGCCCGTTTGTTTTGGCAATCGGTAATCGCTACAACCCAACACAAGTTTTTGTTATCATCGAAGGCCAGGGCTTGGAGCAGCCTAATCTTACGAAGGCAATTGATGTTTGTTTTAAAGTATTTTACATCCTGGATATTAATTATCCTTGGCAATGCTCTTCGTCGTGGGAATTCATACAAAAAGTTCTCTATGGCATCGAAGATAAGGTGAAAGGAAAGACAACCCCAGCTGTTGTTGCAATGAGAGCAGCTTTAAAGTAAATGGCTTTGTTGGCGATCATGCAGTGTTAAAACTACAAAAACCTTCCAATAGTTAAATTAGTTAATTTAATTGTTTTTCTGAAACTTTCACCTCTGTTCATATTAAATAATTGTTTTGTTTTTAATTTAAATCAAGGATCATATAAGAGGTTTTTGAAAATATTTTTATATTAGCTACAATAACCTCTTGCGTGATCCTTGATTTAAATTAAAAACAAGACAATTATTTAGTTAATTTAGTACTTAACAATATTATGTGAATTTTTCTAAAAATAAACCCTGTTCAGTACGAATTTTGTGTTGAAAAACATGTCAAAGAAGCAAGGAACATCAGATTATAAATTTGATCCGTTAACAAGTTAAATTTAACTGGGATACAAGTCAAAATTTTAGCAGTAATTCCTGGTTAAATTAACCAGGAATAACTGGTTAATCAATGGAACCAGGATTTCCTGGTTAATATAACCAGGACTGCGTCGGTCCCATATGGAATACTTTCCTGGTTAAAATTTAACCCCATATTGGTTAAATTTAACCAGGATGTTTCCTGGTTAAATTAACCAGGAATAACTGGTTAATCAATGGAACCAGGATTTCCTGGTTAATATAACCAGGAATGCGTCGGTCCCATATGGAATACTTTCCTGGTTAAAATTTAACCCCATATTGGTTAAATTTAACCAGGATGTTTTTAGATATAATTCCTATAATTCCTACACTACATTCCTACATTACCTACATCGACCTGCAAATAAACAAGCCCTAATAACTACCTTATCCCAAATCAACTGGACCCCTCTCTACCACGTACAACTGCTCTAGATGCTCAGTCTAGATGATTCAGCCTAATTTCGAACAAAATATCCTCTGTTATTGACAGTAATCTCCCTCTGCGCACCATAAAGATAAACCCTGGATTACTGAAGATATCAAGAAATCCATTAAGGCAGAAAGCTTGGTCAACCAGTAATACTCGCCATGTATAATTTTTTATCGTAACAAAGTTAGAAAACTATGCAAACCTGCCCGTCAGTCCTATTATGCATGATAAGAACATTCTTAGCACCAAAGAATCTAACCCGAAAAAAATGGCGCGATAACATAAAGTCTATTTCTGATCTATCCAAATCGGAATCTTTTTCAAGCATCTTCCATGATGGTGAGTTCAAAAAAGGTCCTGAGCTTGCTGAATTAATTGCTGAATCTTTCTGTAATATCACAAACGGATCATTAAATATTAACCCCACTCTGCTTCAACAAGATTCACATTACCTCTATGAGTACATAAACCCGACAAGTCGAAATCGAATTGGAAAATATCAGTCTTCAGAAAGCAATTGGCCCCAATGACATCCCTAACTGGGTACTGAAATCACCTGCCCATGCACCGCTGTTTGGTGGTCCAATATGATCCATTTTCATTGCCAGCATTGCACAAGATCCGCCGACATTCTGGAAATCAGCTAATGTTATGCCAGACCCAGTGAGAAAGATATCTAATCCCAAATCAATTGATAATGACCTAAGAAATATATAGTTCTCTCACATCGCGGTGTTGAGTGAATTATTGGAAAGTTTCGTTTTTCAGTGGCTTTTTAATCATATCTTTTTAATCTTATCAATAGACAATTCCCATTATTGACTGATTTTAAAACTAGGCAAGGAGATGCAAATAAATCATCACAGCTAGAAAGAGCATATTAGGATGAGTCAATTTGCAAAGTTTGGTTGCAAAATGTTGTAAAATGCGGAAAATATAGCCTTGCAAAGTTTGCACATTTTGTATATACTTTTGTATTGCGTGCGGAAATTGCAACCATTTTAATTTCGGCCCAAATGTGGTATGATGTGCTAGGAATTTCCGCACGCAATTCAAAAGAATAAGCAAGGCTATATTTTCCGCATTTTACAACATTTCGAAACTAAATTTTACTAATTTTAGTATGCTCTTTCTAGCTGTGGTGATTTATTTGCATCTCTTTGCCTAGTTTTAAAAACTTTTAAAATTAGTCTATATAATGGAAATTGTCTATTGCCCCGCTCCAGTTTGGAAATATGAAGAATTGCTCCATCACACACCCCCTTGTCCACATGATCCATAAGTAGCTATAACTGGCTGGCCGAATTATAAAACGCTGGTTCAACTATCAGATGTTGTATGATTGACTTTTTGAAAGCCTTTGACCGCATTAATTGATCACAATATTTTACTTCATAAATTACAACAACTCAACATCCCTCCTATCCTGTTGAACTGGTGTGCTGAGTTCCTGCATAACCGGCGATATTAACGTGTCAAACTAGGCCAGAATCTGAATCATCATGGCAACAAATAAATGCAGGGGTTCCCGACAAGGTACAAAACTTGGACTTCTTTTTTCCTTGTGAAGATAAACGTCGCCACTTGCAAACTAACATTCCATTGCATAAATATGTCGATGACTGTTCCACTTAAGGAAATCGTTTCAAGATCCTCCCCCAACTCATCGCTTCAAGTAGTATAAACACTATAAATGACAGGACCAATCATAACAACATATGCGGCATATGCATATCTAAAACCTAGTGATGGGCGATACCAGGATTTTTAGTTCGATACCGATACCGATACTTTTAAGATCAGTATCGGCCGATACCGATACCTATTTCGATACCAAAATGAACACAAAATTTCAATTTTCGATACCGGAAGTGAGTACTGAAATTGCTAGTATCGGCTACTTTCGATACCTGCCGGTCAGCGGAAAAACATTTTAAATTACTGTGGTAACCTAAATAAAGCTAATAAGTAACCAAAAGCCCGAAACGTAATAAATATTTTCTATACATGACTTGGCGCACCACATTTGGAATATTAAGAGTTATTTTAGTGGTTCATTAAGTCTTATTCAACCAAGAAGTGAAATTAAACAAGTCGTTTAAAAAAAGGTGCAAGTATCGAACGATACCACGTCAGTAATCGATACCGATACCGCTGTTTTTGGTATCGCTAGTATCGAATACCGAGTACTCGGTATCGCCCATCACTACTAAAACCAAATAAATGCCCTTTGAAATTCGATACCCTTTCTTCTTCTGGTTTAAACTAGAAATCGTACAGACCTTCAAATTTCTGGGAGTGATAATATTATCGGAATACCTTACCTGGAATGCGTATGTTGAAAGTTGATTACATTTGCACCAAGGCAAGTAAACGTCTCTATAGCTACACTCTAAGGATCCTCAAACAATCTGGTGCCCCAGCTAATAAATAACATTCTTTTGTTCGTTTATTCGTCCAGTTTTGGGGTACGGCTCACCTGTATGGCATTCTTCTCTCCGATCCCTCGCTGACTAAATAGAGAGTATACAAAAACGTGCATTGAAAGATCGCTTTCCCCCAGTCCTCTTATGCTGCATCATTAAGGAATGTTCGCCTAATTCTTATACGCTCTACCAGCGAAGAGAGAATCAGTGCTTGTAACTGATTTGTATAAAGAACATCCATCTACACTCAGACGGCAAGTTAAGAACGCTACTTCCCAGTGCTATATCTCACAAATTCTGTCTAATAAACAAACGCACTTATCCTACGTACATGTACAAGTGCAAAACTGACCGATATATGGGGGCCCCCCATATATCATAGGGATATATAAGAACAGTTTTATCCCAAAGTGTATTAGAAATTGGGACCGACCATAGGCATAACATAATATTTTATAGTATCATCAATATATTTTATATTATAGTAGTTAAACTGAACTTATTGTAATTTTTAATATTATCACGTTTTTTTGAATTCCTATATGAATTTACAATCTGGTGATTTTGCATGGGAATCACTTATCATAGAGATAGGACTAACCTCTAGATTCTCCAGCAAGGACCTTGATCGATACTTTTCTTTATTGTATTCAGGGACGTGACGGACGTCGCGAAGCTTTCAACATTGGGGGCGGGGGGTGTCGTCATGTTTTGACCAACATTTCCTAGGATTTTGACCAAGTCGTACAAATTTTTCAAAAAAAATTTTCCGGACTAGCATAAGCATAGTCAAAAAAAATTTTCCGGACTAACATAAGCATATTCAAAAAATTTCGACCAAGATAAGCAAGGCTTCGAATTTTTTCACCGCAAACATAACAAAAGCTTTAAAATTGTTAAAATTTCCAACCATTTCATAACTTTGAGCAACTTCGACCATCTTTTACCCCAAACTTTGACCAAATTTTTCCGATTTTTACCTTCAATTTTAAGCAAATATCAGTTCCATTTTGACCAACTTTGGGCAAATATCAGTTCCATATTGACCAACTTTGAGCGACGTCTCTGATTAGCGACGTCCCTGATTATATTGTTATTCATGTTATTAAATTTAATGTATTAATTAAGGTACCTTGAAAAAATTTCTTGGTTGATTGATTGATAGATTGATTAATAAAAAAATCTATATATCTAATCTATGTCTAAGCAGGTGACGTCTTTTGTCAAGACGGACGTCAGATGCTGAAGGGGGACTGGATTAAAAACCGGCTGCATGGGCGTACCGGAAGGAAAAAATTAGGGGGGCGGAAAGAAAATTGCCCGACTTTTCGAATTCTGCCCGACTAGTATCAAAAAAATTTTTCCGGAAAGATTTTTTTGGCGACCCCCCCCCCCCTCCCGTCGCCAAAAAAATTTCGGTCAGTGTACCATTTTAGGGGTCAAAAAATTTTTCCGGACAACCAATTTTTTTCGGAACATAACACAAACTTTCGAAAAATCGCAAAATTTGCCAAAAAATTGACTTAATTTTAGACAAAATTGACAGAATTTGTCCCATTTTTTTTATTGCAAGCCAAAATTGCCCGACTGTTGATCGCATTTTGCCCGACTGCCCAAAAAACTGGGGGGGCTGCCGCCCCCCCCCCCCGCCCCCCCGCCCCCCCGCCCGGTACGCCTATGACCGGCTGTGTTTGTGTCAGTTTGTGCCCACAATCTTCAACACATATATATGACAAAACAGAAGATTTTTAAGC